GCGGGGGGGATGGGGAAAAAACCAACAAAACAAACAACAACAACAAAATAATAATCCTGGCTTGCTTTTAGCAAGCTGGGGGCCGCAGGTGAAGCGGTTACGGTACCAACACCCGGGTTAAGCGGTTAAAATGCCGACACCTGGGTTAAGCCGTTAAAATGCCGACACCGGGGCGTTCCCCTCCTTGAGCCCCGGGCTTGCTGAAGAGAGGTGCTCCGAGCTGCTCCTGGGGTGCTCCGAGCTGCTCCTGGGGTGCTCCGAGCGGGCTGGGGGTGCGGGGCCCCGCCGGAGCAGCGGTGCTGGGTCACCCTGTGACACCGGGGAGGGGAGGGGGCTTTGCCAGCAAGGAAGGATTCCAGCCCCCTGGCCTCGGGAATGCTGGGGCTGCTGGCACAAGGACAACCGGGCGCAGGTAAGAGCGAACCGGGCACAGGTAAGAGCGGACCGGGCGCTGCTCAGCCCTCCTTTGTGAGCCCTTAAACACCTCCCTTGGTGCTTCTGTTTCCCTACTTGTGTTTCCCTGTTAACACGGAGAAAATACTATTCCTAATTTCCCTGCTTGGCTGTCCATAAAGCAATTATCTGATCATTATTTCAGCTCTTTGGCAAGCTGGTTCTAATGATGTTTGCTAAACATTTGATTATTATTGCAAACACCGCTTTTTGCATGCGGAGCCGGGGCTGCAGTTGCTAGCGACGGTTTCTGGGAGAAGCAGGTTTGGTGGGCGGGTGCTTTGGTTTACAGAGATATCGTGGACAGAGCTGGAATTTGTGATGCTGTCAGGTTTTTCTGTTTATACAGATAAAGTAATTAAGGTGATAAGCTTGCGCCGGGTGATAAACAGGGGTTTGATGATTGATGGAATTAGACAGTAAAAATCCTGGGTGGTTTGGGAAGAAACACGGAGAGGAAGAGGGAATGGGGGTGTTGGGGGAGCGGAGGCGTGGAGGGACATCTCCTCTCTGCCCCTGGGGTGTGCATTTATAACCAGGCGAAATCCTCTGGCCATTTAAAGCAGGAGCATCAGCCCCCGTGCCCCCAAACCCGTCAGCAGCTGACACGGGACACGAGCTGGGGCGATGCTCTGGAGCCGGCCTCTGCAAGCACCCAGTGCCCACCGAGGGCTGCCGCTCCCAGCCTGGCTCCTGCCAGCCCCTGCTGCTGAAGTTGGCAGTTTTGTGCGTTTCTTGGAACCAACGGATTCACCTCCCACCACAGCCATCCTTTTTCAAGGCCTGGAGACTATTATGCAGTGCTTGAGAAATGCTATTAAAGGCCTTTCCGGATGATTTTCTGTAATCAGGGCCTTATACCAAGAGCCCTGGGGCATCAGAGGAGGTGGATCGTCCCTGTGCCACATAGTGCTTTTCCTATGCAGGATTTGCCCATTGCTCTTGGCTGTCGAAATGATTGCAAGCTTTTGCCTCCTTGCTCCCTCTCGCTGCAGGAGCCGTGGTGGCAAGAAGAGCTTGGGAGAAAGAGCAGAGTGGGTTGGAGTGCAAAACACCCAGGCATTTGCTGAGAATAACGCAGAGAAACCTGGAGAGAAGCTTCCTTTCAGCCTCCAGGAGGGCTCTAGGGGAAGGGGAAAATGCTGGTTGGAGGCACGTAGCTCCCCAGCTGGCATCGGCTCGTATTTGGCTGGGAGATGGAGCCCACTCTTGCATCATTTGGCATTGCCCTTTCCCCACAAACTTGCTGGGAATAAAACCTCAGAACAAGGGAAGGAAGGAAACGATGTGGAGATGGAGCTCCTAAGCGCTGGGAAAGCCAAGGTGTTACCAGTACGAGTCCAGGCGCTGGCAGAGCAGAAGAGGCTCCGTTACCTTTATGAGGAGGAAGGAGGGAGGTATGGCATTTACCATGGGCCCCAGCAAAACCAGGATGCCATGAAAATGAATTGCTCTTGCCAGCAGGGTGACTTCTGTCACTGCTACAGATGTGCCCTGGCAGGTCCCTTGGGAACAGCCCCAGCTACACCCACAGCAGCCCTGTGCATGGAGGATGGACTGGCCGGGGGTACTGGGAGGACACGATCCCAAGGCCCATGGGAGAGCAGGGATGGGATGGGACGTGCAGCTCGTGGGCTCAGACACAGGCAGAGACTCATCTCAAATGGAGGGGGGGAAAAAGCACCGGAGAAGTGAAGCCTGAGTGAGAACCGAGGGATTTGGTGTGAGGAATTATCCCAGTGGGAAAACAAAGTAAAAGGGAAAAGCTGGCTTGATTTGCTGAGGAGTAACACTCTCCAGAGAGACGGCTCTGGCAGGGATGGTGGTGCGTGCGGCTGCGCCGAAGCGAAGGCTGCCCGGCAGATGACTGCGGGGCTCTGCGAAGGTTATGCCTTTAAAGTCCGGGGATATAAATCTATGCCAGGCAATTGCACAAGTCCTCTCGGGGCCCCGTATCATAATGTGTTGCTGGGCTTCACAGCCTGGAGATGCAATGCGTGTGGGGAAGCGTCCAAGGCCCGTACATCATCTGGGTGGTTGGTGGGAGGCGTGTCCCCAAGAGCTGGGAGAAGATTGCTGCCAAAGGGCGGAAATTTTTTGGCCCTTTAACAAAGCTCATGTTAAGAAATACAAACTTGGTGTAAAGACACTGACAGCCTGCAGGAACATGGGGGAAGAAAGCTGGAAGGCGCTGAGAGCGCAGAAGGTTGGTCAAGGGCCAGAGCGTGGAATGGGCCGTGGAGATGTCCCAGAGAGGTGCAAGGACAGCAAGCTGGGCAAAGAGCAATGAAATGTGGGGTACATGTAAGAGAAGATGGGAGCTCCTTGGCTCCTGCTGGGCTTCCTGAGGGGAGCAGGCTCGGTTGTTGGGTTGGAAGCAGCATGAGATGTGAAGCGGGATGCCTTTCTGGACCAGGTACACCCCCACAAGGTACTTCCTCACTCCCATTCCTGATGGAGCATCTCCAGCCGGGTCCAGCTGCAGAGTAAAGTCCTGACCCTGCAGCTTCACCCCTCTGCAGAAATTTGCTCTGCAGATCTCCCTATTTTGCCCAGAAGCCACCCAAAACCCCAGCCTGTACCCCGAGGAGGTCCCCCAAGGCAGGTTCCTTGGCTCAGGCCCATCGTTTGCTGGGGGGGTGATACCTTCCAGGCTTTGCATGGGGATGTGGGACGGGAGCTCCTGCAAAGTCTGTAGAAAGTGTTGTCAGTCCCCAAAACACACTTTGATTTTAGAGCTCTGATATTTTTATTCCTAGCTGCAGGCTTTGCAATCGCTGCTGTCCAGCACCTTGGCATCCAGTGGCAAATGCCCGAGCTTGAACATTAGGGCAGAAAAGTGGGTTTGTCTCTGGATGCCGAGCCCCCATCCAGCCCTCGAAACCAGAGTGCTTTAGACTGCAGCAGGGAATTGCAGTGAGTCCAAGGTTTGCATGCACAGAGCTTTTTTAGCAACAGCTTCTTTCCTTCTCTGAAAAAATGCAGAATTTCACCTCTCACATTTGCTCTTCCCCCACCAGCCTCACCCTATCTGGCTTTCAGCTTCAACATGCCCTTAGACCTTAAATAACTTGATCTAGAGCCACAAATACTTTTTATCGTGTTCTTTTGGAAGCCGTTCCCTGCTGCCTTGCGCCGTGGCAGGGCCAGCTCATGGCTGAGGGAGGTGGTGAGGGGGGAGGCTGAGTTTTGGGGACCTGGTTTCCTTCAATGTGGAGGTGATGAAGGGGCAACAGTGTCAATGGCAACCAGGAATGGGGATAGGAATGGTCGTTGGGTTGTTTTAGAAGCATCAACAAGATTTTTGATAAGTTTATTGATTAAAAAAAGCTTTAAGCATATTAGTAGGAATGTGCAAATAAAAAGGGGGGTACATACGTCATTTAACCCCCACGCTTACGTCTTCAGGTCGAGGAGGGGGGGACGGTGGGTCCTGCGACCTCAGTAAAGAGGGAGTGATTTTTTCTTTTTTACAGATTTTCTGGACCTGTAACAAGCCTTTGGAAATGCTGGGAAAGGAGACTCCAAGGAGACCCATGCTCGCTGCACGGATGGTCCGGGAGCCCAGCGTGGAGAGCAAAGCCACGGTAGGGGTTTGGTCCGTGGCTGGGGTCACCTCTCCTCCCTCCTGCTCCCCAGCTGTGAAACACCAATTCCTCTCCCCCCTCCTCAGGTGAATTTGTGCCAGACAAGCCATTCCACCTCCCGTGCTCCCCGCCATCCTGGTCCACCCAGTCCAAGTACCCTGATCTGTGCTCGGGGGAAGGCTCAGGGGTGGCATCTCCCTGTCCCCACTGGGGCTGTGTCCCTGCGCTGGGATGGAGCAGAGATCCCTGTGGATGCCTCCGCTGGGTCATGTCCATCGGGTCACCAGGCACGGGTGGGTGCAGGTACTGACTGCAAATCCAGCAGAGGGCCCTCTCGGGGAGGAAGCAGCCTTCCTCCTCCTCCTTCTCCTCCTCTTTCTCCTCCTCCCCGGGCTGTCCCTGGGCTCCCCTGGGGCGCACACCCCAGGGTGCCCCACACCGCCCCAGGGTGGGGAGCGCAGGCGAAGGACTGGCCTCGTTTCCTTCCCTTTCTCCTTTCCTCGCTGGGTTTTACCTCCCAGAGGCTGCAGGGTGCTGCAGAGGTGCCCGACGGCTGCTGCACTGGTGCCTTCCCTGGGACAGCGATGGAGGCACAGCCGGTGGCTTCCTGGGGACCAGTGACAACCTGTGGCACCCCTGGTGTGTGCGCTCCCGGCAGACGTGGGTGGGTCCAGGTACAGTAGCAGGAGAGGACCCGCAGCACCTCAGCATCCCCCTTCCCTCCGCCCAGCAGCCCAGACCCTCTCGGAGCCTTTCGGGGCCGTGGACTGCCCCGCCAGTGGCCGCTGACATGGGGCTGCTGCTCCTCCTTCTGCCGGCGCTTTTCTACGCTGCTACGAGTAAGTGGCTGTCTTTGCGGGTCACCTCATCCAAAGTGGGGAGGGAATCAGGCCGTTTGACCGGGGGGCTGGGGGGGTGCGGACAATTTTGTGGTGGGATCTGGGTGTAGATCCTGGCACGGGGATGGAGGCTGCCTGAGAAGAGCCGTGCTCTGCCGAAAACGCGCTCGCCTGCGACGAGGGCTCGTGTGCCTGGTGCCGGTGCCCCCCTTACCGCTCGCTTTTCTGGGCGCCCGCGGTGCTGCGAAGCCCAGAGATCGCTGCAAATCGTGGCCCTGCCTTTTCCTCAGGAGAAGAGAGAGCAAGCACGGGAGCAGAGCGGGAGCAGATGCCGCCACTGATGCTACTGTCTGAAAGAGGAGGGAGGGGTGGACAGAAACCAGATTGCAAAGCCCCCCTTTTTGCTGCAAGTTGGGGGGTGTGGGGGGTGCAGTAGCTCTGCGCTGTTTCCATTTCACTCTGATTTCTTGCGGTTTACTCTTGTGGATGGCAACGCACCATGCACATCTCCCTGCCCGCCATGGGGGGGTCCAACCTTTCTCTCCGGTTGAACAGTGAATGGTTTGTGTCCCCTTTAGAGGGGTTTGCTGGAGGGTCAGCCCGCCCCGCCTCGGCATGGGAAGCGCAAGGGGAGCTGTGTGCGGTGTGCCGGGAGCAGGGGTGCTGTCCTGGGCGGGGGCGGCGGGGATGCACGGTGGTGCGGAGAACCTGGGTGCTAGAGACAAAAGGGATGGGTGACGCATCCCCCCGGCCATGTCCTGCAGCTCTGGGACTTTGCTGGCAGAATTTACCCAGCGGCTTTACAGCAGAGGCGATGCGGATCCAGGGCGAGTTTCACTCAGCCTTGCTGCTTTCTAGAGGATTTGGTCACGGCTGTTTTCCTGGCAATGCGTGGGCTTCGTTTGCAATCCTGGGTGGCCCTCGGGAGAGGTCGAGGCAGATGCTGAGGTTAATCCCGGCTACGTTTGGCCGCCTCCCCGGCTGCGTGTCCTTTGGTGGCCCCGCAGAGCTGGGGCGGGAAGGTCCCCGCTGCGGCGCAGAGCCCGTGCCCACCCCATCCCACCTCTGCCAGGGAATGGCTGCTGGTCTGACAGCCTGCATCATCCAAAAATCACCTCTTCTCTGTGTTTTACATTGCCTGAGACACCCACTTTTCCCTTGGTGTTTGGTTTTGGGTTTTTTATCTCACCTTCTCTCATTTTGGGTCATTCTCTGTATTCCTGCCCTGCACAGCCCCTGGTTTCTCTAGCCTGGGGCGGGGTGGGGGGTTAATGCAGAACAAGGTCCTATGGGGGTGGCTGGAAAACATCAGTTTAGCTGGGGACCTGGGGCTGGAGCCTCCTGCCTGAAAAGAAAAGCAGCTCTCTGTGTTTATACATATAAATATATATATGTATAAACTCTTCTGCCTTAGTATTTACGCAGCTCCATATGTGGATGCGTTCCCTGCAATAGGGGCCTGGAGGCTCTGGAAAGGTTCCCATTGCCTTCCCTGGGTCCTACATAAATTCAGACTGAGAAAACAGCCAGAAACCTGCGTGGCATGACAGCACGCAAGAGAGCCTGGACAACTGGAAAAGGAACAGAGACTGGAAGGAAATCCCTCTGGAAGGGCTCGAGCTCAGGTCTGAGGGCTGGGGTGGGATCTGGTTCCATTCGCAGGGCTGGGAGGGGGTCAGGGACTCGCTTCCCTCCGCAGGGCTGTGAGAGGGTGAGAGCCAGCAGCAGGACCTGACCCGACGGCACCTCCAAAATCTCGCTTCTGCCACCACTCCGGCCTCTTTTAAGAGGTTCCCATTTGGACAATTTGCAATGAGACATTCTTAATTGCCCTCAACCCTTGTCCGCATGGTAATTCGCTGCTTTGGTGCTTATCTCGTGGGGATCCCGCAGAGCTGTGCCAAGCGCAGCCCCCAGCCAGCATCAGCGGGGCAGGTAGCGACGGAGGGAGGGCAGGACCACTGCGGGCTTAAAACATCCTCGCCCAGGAGCTTGCTGAACAGGTCAGTGAGCTCGCTGCTGGGCGGCTGGCTCGGCCCCGCGTGGCCTGCGGGCGGACGATGGCTTTCCACAGGCGCGCTCGGGGATGTCTTTGCCCCAGCCGCAGCACGCAGGCGCCACCCCTGCACCCAGCACAAACGTTTGCCAGTGCGTTTTGCATGCGGGAGGCCGCTCAGCGCCAGGGAGGTCTCGTGTTGAGGAGCAGCTTCCAGCTTCCCACGGGTGCTCCACGCTGATATACAGCACAAACCTGAGCGCTTTTGACACTGGCGTCACTTTATTTAGTTTTTTCGCATGTGCTTTTATTGTTGGGTGTGATCTGCCAGCATGAGGTATTTTTAATAAGCGTGATAAACTTTTATTGAAGCATTAACAGTCAACAGTTCTATTAGAAATAACCTAACGCTCAAACTTGGCTCAGATTTTTATTGTATTTGCTGCCTCAGAGAAACAGGTGCTTGGGAAAATCGGAAGGAGCAGTCGCACACGGGTTTGTGTTTGTCCATCTGCAAGGCAAGAATTTGTTAGGGCAATGGCTTGCGTGTGCCCTCTGTAAGGGATCCATGTCCCTGAGCTGCTGCTGGGCTTTATCCCCCCCCTTGCACGGGCATCCTTGCTCGGCTGCTGGTTCGTGCCCACCCGAGCCTCTGGTGGCCGATCTCGAGCTGCTGGCAGAGAGCAACTCCATGGGCACCAGCCCTGCTCGCTGAAAAGCATTTTTGTACACTGCTGTGGGGCTGGTTTTAGTATATAAATACAAATCTTGCAAAATGGGTACCCCCTCCAGCTCTGTTATAACTAACAGGTAGAAGTAAAAGGTGGATTTTCTCCCCCCCCAGTTTTCAGCAGCAGCCCAGCCCTGTTCGGGTGGCTGCCTGGGAAGAGGTGGCCTGAGCCACGCCGTTGCCAGAGGAGCTGCCTCCGGGCAGGGTGCTTGCTGTGGCCTCCAGGCAGGGTGCTGTTATTCCAGGCACCGGCTTCACTCCAGGTGACTCGTTCCGTGCTGGTGGTGACACCGCTGCTGCTCCCCAGCAGGACGGAGATTGGCACCTGGGAAGCCCCGTTCATTGCGGAGCAAGGCCCGCGGGGACGGCCACGCACAGGGTCACGCAGGAGGTAGAGCCTTGCACCGCACAGCTCCAGGAGCCCGTGCCAGGGAGCGCCGGGGGCTGGCTCCAGCCAGGGGCCCTGCCTACCCTTGGCTCACCCTCCCTGTTGCACTTCCCTAGCACCCCCCCGTTCCAAAGCCGATGCAATCTGGAGAGCGCCAGCGCTCACCGCACCCCTCTGAGCTTTGGGTGGACCAAAATCGCTTCTTTATGCAAAAAAACTGCGGCACTAAGCAACTTGTCTGTCATCACACAGGAGATCTCCATCTGTCTGTCTGTCCTCTTGGACAGCTTTTGGCTTTGTAAGGCAGAATCGTGCCCAGAAGTAGTTAAAGTCACCGAGATGCTGCACTAAGGAGAGGTCTTGGACAAGGCTGCCCAGTAACGAGCTGCTCCTGGACCAGTTCCCCGGGCGCTGCCCACCCTGCTCACGGCGTGTGCCCGTTCCTGCCGTCCTTCTCTCAGATGCGTGCGACGTCGCCGTGGCGTTTGCGGGCTGGGGAGGGAAGGCGCCCGGCACGGGCAGCAGCCCTCGCCCCTGGTGACTTCCCTGTCACCGCCTTGGCTCACGCCCCTTGTGTTATCAGAAGAAAATGGGTGTTCTTGCCCCCAGCTAAAGGCAGGCCAAAATGAGTTTTCAGAGATAACCTTTTGCAGTGTTAATAGCAGATATGCTCTGTAACGTCCCAGGCAGACAGTTATTTGCCTGGCAGTTGTTAGCTGTTTCGGTGTTCTGCAGCCACACGTGTGCTCCCCCGTGGGTTTAGACATGTCTAATACACAAGTATAGCCACAAGCATTTATAAAAAAGTAAAATTACCTCTTGGTTTGCAAAAAGGAGGAGTCAAAGGCAGGCGCTTCCAACACCAAGCTCTCTGGAAGTCCAACGTATGATACAAGCTGGACCAAGGCTACAACCCAGACTTCTTACCTGGGGGTAAAGGGGACGTGGCCCTTTCCGACAGCACGGAGCCCTGGCCCGGGAGCTGCCTGCAGGGTCGGGTCAGCCCAAGGGGGCCCTGGGCAGGGCAAGGGCTCAGCCTTCACACCCGTACAGAAATGGGGTTCCCCTTCGCACCCCAGGCTGCCCCGGGGCTGGGGCAGGGGGTCCTGGCTGATGCAAGGTGAGAGATGAAGAGGAACGATAGCGTGGGTCTGTGAGAAATGTCGCTTGGACCTGCTTTCTGGCTTCAGGCAGGCAGAGATCCCTTCCAGAGCTGCTTGGGACGGCTGCAGTTTCCAGGAAAGATTTATGGAGCCACGATAGACTCCATTCCAGACCTTAAACCACTTTGAATCATGTCGATTGAGTCCATTGGGTTCCGCGTGGATTTGGAGCCCTTGTTGTCCCCAGAACAAACACCCCAGGTAGGTCAGCAATGCTGGGGGAGGCTGGCGGGACCCCCGGCCCGTCGGGGACGTCCGAGCGGGGCTTCAGGCGGTGCGTGCTGTTTATGTCTGGCTCAGCCAGCTCTTGCAGGGATATTTCTGGTCTAATGGAAAACTTCCTCAGACCCAGGCACGATCTGTCCGCGGGAAAACCCCAATGGTGTGGATGTGGCGCCCGGGGCTCAGCTGCTGGGCCAGCCAGAGGGGACCGCGGCCGCGGGATGCCACTGGCCATGCGTGGCAAGCCCCCGCCGATCCGGTCCCACCTGCATCCTATCGATTCCCACATCGTGCAGCAGTGCTGGCTGATGGGGTGGTTAACAGGGGGCATGGGTGAGCAAGGCAAAGTGCTTTTAATTATGGCATGCACCATTAGCCATTAACAGCCTGGCAGTTGGAGACAATCCTGAGCGCCCGGCTGGGCCCCCCCCGCCGCGTTTCCCCCGGTGCCTGACGGCTGCTGCTTCCCAGGGCCCTGACCAAAGCGGGCCACGGAAACGTTTAGCTGGATCTGAAGCATGCCTCTGCCATGGATAATTGCGGGATGTTAATGAACAGGGCCCTGCCGCTGGCTGTCTTTGACGGCTCTGATGGAAAGGGCTCAGCACCAGGGAAGCTGGAGCTGCCCAGACAGCCTTGCACCCCGGGCCAGGGCTCTGCCTCGGGGACAGGGGTGGCCGGGGGGCTGGGGAGGAGCGATGGGGTGGCCAGTTTGTTGGGGCTCTCCATTTCCATGTGCTCCTCAGCAGAACTGCCTCTGCCCAGGTCTCCTGGCTCCAGGATGGTGTTTTGCCAGCAAAAAGTGCTCCGACAGCAAGGGTTTGGGTCCTTCTTTTCCCCTGGGCTTGCTCCGGCCGGAGCGCAGTCCCGCAGGGCATGGAAGTGGCGATGCTGGTCCTCAGCAGTGGCACAGGCTCCCTTCAGCCACCGGCCCCGCTCTGCCCCAAAAGTCACTGGAGCTGGGCACAGAGCAGGATGCGGCCCCAGGAGGTCGGCGCCCCGCAGGCGCAGCATCTGCGAGAGGTGCGGGAGGTGCTGCCCCAGCGCTGAGCATCTCCTCTTCCTTCGGCAGAGCCTCCTCTGATCCACTCCCGGCAGGATGGGCACGCGTGTCCCTTGGGGCAGTTTCCCTGTGGCAACCTCTCCATCTGCCTGCCCCAGGCCCTGCACTGCAACGGGGAGGATGACTGCGGCAACGGAGCTGACGAGGAGCACTGCGGTAAGCAGCAAGCCCCTGGCGAAGAGAGATGCCCTCGGAGGGAATAACCCCCAGACCTGGGAACACCAGGATCTGCAACCATGAGTGCATCAGAGCTGAGCTCGCTTGTCCCCTGGGAAGCGTGAGGAACCCGGGTCTGCTCCATTATCCAGCCGCTTCCCCGGCTCTTGCATCTGCATGTCATCCCGGTACAGCGGCCACATGTGCCCCGGGGAGGAGCTCATCCATCAGGGATTCTCCTGGGCTGGGGTGCAGGAAAACCCTCCTTGCTACAAGGCTGGGGCCATTATTTCTGAGCCGTGGTGGGAAGGCAGAGGAGCAGCGGGGCTCTGTGCTGCCGCTCGGGGCACGGGCATTCAGCAGAGTCAAAGACAAAACGAGTTCCTTTTTTCACACAAGGCACAGTGCCGCCGCGGAGGGCTCTGCTCGGGGGTGCTGGGTGTGGGGGGTACATGAGTGGAGGCTGGACGAATCCATACCCTCTGGGAGCTGGTTAACTGGGTGGCTTGGATGCGGTGTCTGGCTCAGGATATCCTTAAAGTGGGCTAGGTGGGATGCTAGAAAAAGAGGAAAGAAAACTGTGTTGTGGCTGCACGTGGAGAGACGCCACGGGGGTGCGATCCAGCGCCCGGTCCTGAGGCTGCCGGGGCTTTGCGCTGCGCCGGTGCCTCCAAGGCTGGTCCCCGCTCTGTGCCCTGCAGTGGATGACAGCGGCTGGCTGCAGGTCCTGGGTGACGTCCTGCCCGCCCGGAGCATCCCAGAGCGGTGCCGGTGCCAGGGAGGGGCTGTGGACTGCACCGAGCAGGACCTTGCCACTGTCCCCTGGGTCTCCTCCAACGTGACCAGGCTGTGAGTAGCAGCGGGCGCACGCAGCCCCCTCCCCAGGAGAAGCACCAGCGGGGCACGCGCTGCCGGCCGGCAGGAAAACTTGCTTAGAGGGAAGGAAATAAAATCCCCGGCTTTCACTTGTTGTCCCCGGATCCGAAGAAGCAAAGAGGCGTTTCCGTGCCGGCAGACCCCTCTCTGCTGAGCTTCAGCTGCTCGCTGCACCCCTCCCACAAGCAGCGCTGAACCGGGAACAGGGACCGGCCACATCCTGCCTGGGGCCAGGACCTGGAGCCTCCAGCTGAGGCGCGCGGGGCCGGTGGCTGCTGGCGAGGCCCAGGCACACAAAAAGCAAGGGCTAGGAAGGGAGGAGAGCGTGAGAAAATTCATCTGCAGCAAATCAGGCTTGCAGGCTGGGGGGGCAATTAGCAATGTAGTGCTAATGAAGAGCAGCTGCCGTGCATTTTGTTTGCACAGCGTAAGAGGTCTCTACTGTTCTCCTTTGGTCTCTGCTCCGTCCTCATCTGCTGGCTTTGCGTTTGATTTTTTTTCCTTCTGTTTTCCTGCTAGGGACCTGAAGAAAAATAGGATCCGTTCTCTGGGGGACAATCAGTTTGCCGGGTACCAGAGCCTGCAGAAGCTGTGAGTATCCCCTCCTCGTCCTGCTCTCTGCCTGCCGTGCGCAAAAGGGGAGAGCGGCGGGCGCGGGGGTCGGCAGTGGTGGGCGCAGGGGTCGTGTCCTGGTTTCGGCTGGGATAGAGTTAATTTTCTTCATAGAAGCTAGCATAGTGCTGTGTTTTGGATTCAGTACTAGAAGAATGTTGATAACACACGGATGTTTTCAGTTGTTGCCAAGTAGTGCTCAGACTACTCAAGGACTTTTTGAGCTTCTCCTGCTCGGCCAGGGGCAGAACAAGCTGGGAGGGGGCACAGCCAGGAGAGCTG